CCTGGGCGATCTGCCCATCGCCGCAGGTGATCCCGCCTGCTCCCGGGAAGCGCAGCAGGGCTGGCAGCGCCCCGTGCTTCAGCGTGTTTCTGTGGGCCCTGGGAATTGTGCTCTGCACTGGTGATGGATTGTGGAAACTGCTGAAGGCAGGAGGTGAAACTGTGTTTACAAACAAAATAAACAACAAGAGAATAATAAACAGTCAACTGGTTGATCCCAGCAAAATCATTTCTCTCTTTTTCCTTTCAAATCTGTTCCTCTGCTGGTGCAATGAAGGCATGTGATATAACCTTAAAGGTTAGTACACAAGTTTAAGATGGATTCGCAGCAATGCTTTAAGAAGTTCCTGACCTTTACATTTTTAATGGAAAGCTTCCCTCACAACATTCTTTTTAAACACTCTTTTTTTCCCCCTTTTTTCTTGTAATATTTTCACTTTAAAAGTGTCCCAATGCTCTAGTATTTTGCATAGAATGTTATTATTACTAGGAAATTTTATGTACGGTAATAATAAATCCATAAAAATAAGATTGACGTCACATTGCACGCTGCCTACTTGTGTATGTATATTCTGTGTTCATTCAGATTTACAGTTGGTTTAAAGAGACATAATCTTTATTTACCCATAGAGACCACTTATTTTCCCCGGATTGGTGTACGTGTCTGTAACTTCTGCAGCAGGTTACAAAGATTAGGAACCTGCCCTTGCTTTCCATCCCCCTCTCTCTGAAGCAAGGCATCGCCGTTCTGTGTATGCTTGTGTGGATTTCAGTTGCCCCGTGCCTCCGTTCCACTAGCAGGCCAGCGAAAACAGGCAGAGGGGCTAGCTCGGGTGGGCAAGGTCTGAAGGATTCAGCCCACATGTGGGATATCTCGTCATGTTTGGGCACGCTCTCAGTGCCACTTGCTTGATTTGTAACTGCCTGGCTAATTAGCGCGTGCGCTATTAAAGTAAACATTTGTATACCCAGCTGAAACAGTAAATAGCGACAGCCAAATCCAAGGCACCTCACTGAGCTTTGCTTCGAGTTTGAGATCGCCTTCGCCCGGGATGGGCTGTGATGATTGATTTCAGCAGAAACGGCGTCTGATCCTGCAAATCTTACCGCCATATGGCACTGCCACGCGGGAGAGGGGCTGCGCTGGCAACCGCAGAGCGTGCGCTTCGTGTTTCGGTAGTGCGCGCGGGCGCTGTTAGGGGAGCACCGCTGAGCTCTGTGGATAGGGGTCAATTAGTCGCGGCCTCCAAGGAAGCAATTTCCCTTCCAGCTCTCTAGCTGTGAATTACATGCATAAGTTAAGTAGCTGCAGGGTGGAATTGAGTAGCGTGAGGAAGAAGCTGATAAGGAGCAGGCGGCTAACGCGATCCAGGCAGCCGCCACAGGGTCAGAAGACAGACCACCCTGTCGCCCATGTCCGCTTTCCCAGCCTTCACTGACCCGCGGCTTTACAGCAGCGCTCTCGGCCTCTCGCTGCTGCCTCGGAGCTCCCGACTCGCGTGAGGGTCCCCACATGCTACGCGCTGTAAAAGCAGGCGGAAGGGCCCTTCCTGTCCCCAGCTTTTACAGCTGAAGCAAGAACAAGCCGTCTGCTCCTGGGGCTCCCACTTGGCTATTAGCTGCAAAGCCCCAGTTGGTCCTGAACGCCCTTTTCTTCCTTCTTCTCCTTGTGTGTGCCTGTGCCTCCCTGCCAGGATGCTCTTGCTTGTCTGTTTCCAGGTAGAGAGAGACGCTCGCAATCGCCAGCCCTTGGTTTCTCCCAGCACATGCGTGGCTCCGAGCATGGGGACTCTGCCGTGCTGTCTCTCTGGGCTGGAACGCGCCGCACGTTCCTGCGGTGACGCTACTGGCAGTGAGTGGAGGAGACAAGAGGCAGGGAGAAATTTGACTTACGTTGAGAATTTGTGACAGTTTGTCACATTCATCCAGCTTCTGCCTGCTGGGGGTAAACATACGTTCAGCAGCACGTTTTTCTTTTGGCCCTGGAGATTTTGAGGGGCGACATGTAGCACAAGGGCTCCTTCTCCCACCAGCTGCTGGCCTCTCTGTTCACCGTGTCCTGAGTACCATAGCTTGGAAATGTCATTGAAGTTTATTTGAACTTCTCCTGTAGGATCAAATCCTGCAAGGCAGGAATGTCTTCATCTTACAGTGAAGTTGGTGGGTGGGAGACACAGGGCTGAGGAAGATGCTGAGAGGCCTGCAGAGCTGGGGTTTTGCTCCTTTTGCAGTTTGATGCATTACTGAGTGAGGAAAACCAGGGTGCTGCCAGGTCGAGAAGCCCAGGGTAGCTCTGAAGCAGATCTGGATATAGTCCGTTTTACTATTTCTTGTTTTGGTGTTCCTTCTCTTTATGTGATATTTAAAATGCAAAAAGACTGCCACAAACATAGTATCTGTGATCAAACTAGAATGTACGTTATATAAACTACCATTGGATATAGTGTGGTGGCGTTTGTATTTTGTAAAAATGAGACAAATTCACATCGTCTCTTGAAACGAAGCTTCTCCAGCCTAAAGAAGTCTCAGTGGTGAGATTTGGTACTGAACTGAACCAAATTTTAAGGAATTCAGCAAAAATTATAGGACAGTCAAGGGTTTTAAGTGTCTCATTCACAGGAACACT